AAAGATATGTACTAGATTGTTCACTGTAGCATTACACATATAACTCCCACACAGAAACTATCCAAATGCCCATCAACAGAATAATGAAGTCATAGTATATTCATACAAGGGGACTACTTCACCTCAATGAAAAATTAACAACTGCTACAAGAAACACAGATGAATCTCACAAAGAGTGTGTTGAAAGACAGAGGCCAGAAGCTCAGTAAAAGGCAAGATTCATCTGTGTTGGTCTTTGAGCACAAAAATGTCAGGGATGCAACATGAGGAAACCTGCTGTATTGCTTGAATGTCTGTCCTACATCTTCACCTGGGATTTGGTTATGTGTATGCACCTTGATTAAAAAAAAAATGAAACAGAATAAAAATTAAGAGAATTATCTAAAGGATTTCCTCATCAAAACAGGAATAGTAAAATAAACTTTTATACAAACGGAGGGAACATGCATACTGGTTATGGGGTTTAAGTCACATGAAGTGCATGATTAAATTGATCAGTCGGTTGGGGGGTGGAGAGTAGGCAGAGGGGGAGGGGATCTGTTCTTGCTTCGGGAGAGAGGTGTGCCTTCCTCCCCCAGGCGAAGCGGGGGCGGTCTCACTGGAGGAAGGAACGTCTGGTCGCTGGCTCTGAGTTTGTCTTCCAATCCGCTTTCTTTCTTTAGGAAGTACCAGGATTCCCGGAACAGAAAATGGAGGCATTGCTTACACCTATGTTTGAGAAAAGGAGGGGGACGTGGAGTTCCCTGTTAAAACAGGCCTCTTGATTAGCAAAGTGGTGGCTCGTCTTTTGGGGGAGTTCCCTTCCTTCTGGGTTGTATTACTGCCAGACTTTCTCTGGCCAGGCCCGGAGGAGTGTGGTATGTGGTCAGGAGTGAGAAGAAATAGTGAGGTCATCCGGGTGCAGGAGAAGTGAAACTTAAAACCTGTCTCTACTGCTGTTGGATTGGGTCACCCCTGGTCTATGGCATGAAAGTTTTATTGGTTGGAGATCTGCTGCAGGAGTCTGATTGCCTGGGTCAGTGCAACGGGACAGAATCTAGTCCCCACATACTCCCTTCCTTGTCTTTAATTTGCTGCCATTTTGCCTTGAGCTTGTTGGGGTGTCTCCACATGCTATGACTGGAGTGGGCAGTGAATTGGTCATTGCCCGTTAGACTTGAGTTTGAATAACATGTCTGTAAAAGCTCATTCTAATAAAGAAGCTGGTCCATTGGGTTTGCCTTTTTATAGAATGAATCATGAACCTTGGATTCATCTGGGAAGGGGCCCCATGGATCACACATTCATATGCTTCCTGTCTTCCAGTGTAGAATTATTACTTTGCACAGTCAACATTTTTATGTGCAAGTCTTGCTTTTCTAAAGAGACGAAGCTTTTTGAATGCAGGAATTGGCGCTCATCTTGTGTCTCCCACAAGGTCTTTGCACACAGTGGGCACTCATGAGAATAGAGGATGTGAATGGATAGAACTCAACAAGCTTTTTTAACTACAGTTTAAGGAGAAAGAGATGGCTTGGCTGTCAGGGAGAGTGCCTGGAGATAACTGAGTGAAGGTACAAAGGCCTTTAAGCCCTTTGTAATAAGAAGTCTTGATCTCGCCCTAGCCAGTTTGGCTCAGTGGATAGAGCATCAGCCTATGGACTGAAGGGTCCCGGGTTTGATTCTGGTCAAGGGCATAGGCCTGGGTTGTGGGCTCAATCCCCAGTAGGGGGTGTGCAGGAATTAGCTGATCAGTGATTCTGTCATCATTGATGTTTCTATCTCTCCCTCTCCCTTCCTCTGAAATAAATAAAAATATATTTTTAAAAAAGTCTTGCTCTAACGGTTTGGCTCAGCGGATAGAGCAGGGATCCTCAAACTCTTTAAACAGGGGGCCAGTTCACTGTCCCTCAGACCGTTGGAGGGCCAGACTATAGTTTAAAAAAAAACTATGAACAAATTCCTATGCACACTGCACATATCTTATCTTGAAGTAAAAAAACAAAACAGGAACAAATACAATATTTGTATTTGCATGTGGCCTGGGGGCCGTAGTTTGAGGACCCTTGGGATAGAGCGTCAGCCTGCAGACAAAGGTCCCAGGTTCGATTCCGGCCAAGGGCATATACCTTGGTTGTGGGCACATCCCCGGTGGGAGGTGTGTAGGAGGCAGCTGATCTGTGTTTCTCTCTCATCGATGTTTCTAATTCTCTATCCCTCTCCCTCTCTGTGAAAAATCAATAAGATATATTTAAAAAATAAATAAATAAAAATAAAAAATAAATAAAAAATAAAAAAGTCTTGATCTCCCCACCCTCCTAAGAAGCACAAAAGTGGCATGGATAATGGAAAGTAAGACCCTCCCCCCCCCAAAAAAAAATTACTAGAGCACAGAATCATTATTTATCTGAAATCCCAGATCTTTTGCTCCCCCCTTTTGGGCAAAGGGTTCTCTCCATTAGCTGTAAGTCCTTCAGAGTATTGTCTGCAAATTGGGATCCTGGAGATTATGGAGGAGGGAACCAATGAATGTATGTGGTGCCTGGCACAGAATTGGTGCCAGTGAATCGTAGCTGCTATTATTAAACTGAATGCATATATAAAAGGCAGGCAGACAGCAGGCTGGAAATACTGGAAGTGAAGTCTTAAGTGCACAAAGGGTGATATTGTGTGTGTTCATTTCTGCTACTCTCTTCCACTGGAGTCATAAGAGGAAATGGACTTAGGATAGTGGGCGGGATTTATTGGTTAGAAGAAGGAACTTCTTTAAAACCAGGTTTTTAAAGCTGAGTAAATAACAGGGAAATTGTGGAATCTGCTTCTCTATATACCTTTACAAATGGATGCCAAGAGGCCTGAGACTCAAAGTGTATAGCAGAGTTTGTTTTTCCTAATCATTTTCATTGCAGGTGAATTTAGAAGCAAAATAGTACAGTAATTAAAAGTGTGGAATTTGGAATCAGACAAAATTGGGTTCAAATCTTGCCTTTACTATTACTAGTTGTATGATTTTCGTGAAATTATTTGTCCTCTTTTTGTTTCATTTTCCTCATCTGTAAAGAGTATGATGATAGTACCTACTTCGTAGAGTTGGTATGAGAATTAAATGAGATAATACACATAAAGTACTTATGCATATTATTAGAATTGTGCAAAGAACATAGTAAGCCCCAAATAAATGTTAACTGCTATTAATAATCATCATCACAATGGTAATAATAATATGAGCACTTAGGGCTGCCTTAAAGGTTTACAGAAGAATAACTTACCGCCTGAGGTGCCTGTAGAGGGATGATTGTTACCATGATTTTCTGTGCTGGTTGTAGGTTTATGAGCAGTGAAATCTTTTTTCAGCATCAGCTTCACAGAGGCAGCTCCTGCTGCCTGAGTGGGAGGTGAAGCTGGAGCAAGGCAGGTCCCTGAGCCATCAGCTTGTGTGAGGAGGATGTGGGGGCTCGAGAATAGTGTTTATGCCCTAGCCCATTTGGCTTAGTGGATAGAGCACTGGCCCTCAGACTGAAGGGTCCTGGATTTGATTCTAGTCCAGGGTTTGATTATGGTCTAGGACTCGTACCTCGGTTGCCGGTTGTAGGCTGTGGTTTTAGGCTCTATCATGATCCTCCGCCCTAGCCCTGTCAAGGTGGGTGGGAAGCAGTCAGTCAATTTATTTCTCTCACATCCATGTTTCTCTTTCTCTGTCTCTCCCCCTCCCTTCCACTCTCTGAAAATCAATGGAAAAATATCCTTGGGTGAGGATTAACAACAACAACAAAGAACAGTGTTTAATGTTTAAAAAATCATCATGACTCTGAGATAATGGTTGACTCTTCCATAAAGGTGCACCCTGATTGACTTAGGTCAGGATTTAGCTTTCTGGGTCCCATTGTTTTAGGTCTTGATGAGCATTTCAGCATCATCCATTTTCTGGGCCACTTTTCATTTAGTCCTATCTCCTTTATTTTTTTTATTTAAAAAATATTTTTATTGGTTTCAGAGAGGGAGAGAGATAGAAACATCAATGATGAGAGAGAACCATTGATCGGTGGCCTCTTGCACACCCCTACTGGGGCTTGAGCCAGAAACCTGGGCATATGCCCTTGACCAGAATCGAACCCCAGACCCTTCAGTCCTTAGGCCCACACTCTATCCTCTGAGCCAAACTGGCTAGGGCTAGTCCTATCTTCTTTAAATGTCTGTCTCTCAGTATATTTCAGAATGTACTGTATTAAAGGTCCAGAGTTATGTTATCTGTTTAATTCCGTCTACTATACTGTTTCCAACATCTGTCACAAATATAG